AAAAATATTAACAAAATAAACAAGCGTATGTTAATTCTTTTTTGCTATAAGTACAAATCAAGGTAATTTTTTAAAATGTTCACTTCAACATAAATAATTAATTATTCTATTATTAATTACCATACTTAAAAATAAAGAAGATATATATGACAGTTTAGTTTATATAACCTAAAGGTAATGAAATTTCAAAGAGTTAAATATGAAAATCTAATATTTGAAACGGTGGATTGGTAGGGGCACTACCCCATATTTACAAATAGAATTCAAACGGTCCTATTTTTACAAAGAGAATACAAAGAGACCCTATTCTTACAAAAAAACTCCTGGGTGGATACATGAACCTCATCCCACATAGAATGGGATTAAGAACTAAACGCTACCTTATAATGGGTGTGGACACATTCTTTGTCATAATAATGTGTTTTAAAGTTGTGAGGGAAACAAATCCTATATGAATTTTGTAGTTAAGCATGTACGAACGAGAGCAACGAGAACAATTCAGTAAGGACATTTTATTAGTATTCTTTGTGTTTTTGGCGATCCATAGAAATATAATGTTTTAGTATGTTTGATTATGTAGTTCATTAAACTTGTTAACCTCTATAAATTTAATTTTATATTTAGGTAGAAAAAGTCGTGATCCAACAAAAGTCTTAGATCTTGTAGTTGATACTAACATTTTAATTTGGCATGTTTTATATCTTACATGGAANNATCACGTGTTAATCTTTCCTACTGTAAAAGTTCAAATCTTGGTTACTAGCCCAAGTCGTATGGTCGGAATTTTGGTATGTTCATCCCATGTCCTAAAAGATAATCCACACGTATTAGCCTGTTAAGGATGATATGTATTTCAAAAAGACGACATGAAACTTAAACTTTTTTTTTGTAAAATGATTTTGTGTGTTGGTTTTAACCAACATTGTTATACAATTTCAGGTTTGTCTAAAACATGATTTAAACAATTTTAAATTGGAATAAACTTTTAATATGAATTATTTTCAATTGACAAGTATGATTCACTCCTTCCATGTTGATTAAATTGATCGGGTCCAATAACTGAGTTTTATAGAAATGTTGAATGAGATGATATATATAACTGTCATATAAATATTTTTTATTATATATTATGAGATGTCATATTGACTTTTAATTAATATGGAGATTAATAACTATTGAATTTTTAATAAGAAAAAATTAACATTTTAATTATTAATATAATGGCAAGATGTAAAATCGATTATTGATGAATGATGACTATTAACAAACTAATCAACTTTTAATTGGAATCTAATCTATATACTATTAATTGCACAAGACAAAGGTACATGAAATTCTCTATAAAAGGGAAGCTAAAAGGGAGTATTGAGCACCCAAAACTCCATTATGGCTTCTTTGAGCTCTACCTTAGCTACCCTCATCCCCTCTTCGCCGGACTTTTCCAAAACAGCCACCAGACGACGGTCGAAGACACATGCAAAGCTAACCCACCGCTTCCAAGTCTCATGCAACGACCATGAAAAACCACCAACCACAAATCGTCAACCTGAAAAGCTCATACTACCACCAGAAACATCACTCAACAGGCAGAATGTAGACAGAAGAAATTTGCTCCTTGGGCTCGGCGGCCTCTACACCACCACCAACCTGAACACTCTGCCACCGGTCTTTGCCAACCCTATCAAAGCCCCATCCTTTGTGCCAGGATGCACGGACTCGTTATGGAACTTGGATTTCGAAAGTGGCGTAAGAACTGGTGCGTGTTGTCCTCCGGCAGCCAAGGAACTGGAGATGGACTACAAGTTCCCTACAACAGGTGAAACTCGCATCAGACAGCCGATACACAGAGCTTCGCCGGAGTACATCCAGAAGTTTAAGGACGCGATGCAGAAAATGAAGGCTCTCCCAGATGACGACCCGTGTAGCTTCAAGAACCAAGCTAAAGTTCATTGCGCTTACTGCAATAACAGTTACACTCAAATGGCTAGCGGTTACCCGGAAAAAGTACTCCAGGTTCATTACTCGTGGCTCTTCTTTCCCTTCCATCGCTGGTTCCTTTATTTCTTCGAGAGGATACTCGGAGATTTGATTGAAGATAAAACTTTCGGGTTACCTTACTGGAACTGGGACGACCCTGCCGGAATGGAAATTCCCGCCGTGTTTGAAGACAGAGGAAGATCTAACCCTCTTTACAATAGCTACCGGAATGTCAATCACCTCCGGCCAGCTGTTATCGATCTGGATTACCATATGAAAGAACGAAATCTTTCTCCTCTAGATCAAGTGCGCGTTAATTTGTGTATTATGAATAGGCAGATGAAGCGCAACGCCTCCGATCCAACAAGTTTCTTTGGTGGCGAATATGTCGCCGGTGATAATCCCATCAGTTCAGTTGGATCCATAGAAGCCGGTTGTCATACGGCGGTTCACAGATGGGTGGGTGACCCTAGAACTCCGAATGACGAGGACTTGGGCAACTTCTACTCCGCCGCGTATGATCCTTTGTTCTATGTACACCATGCAAATGTCGACCGGATGTGGACACTTTGGAAAGGTTTAGGAGGTGAAGGGCGGAAGGAACCCAACGACAAAAACTGGGAAGAAGCATCATATGTGTTTTACGACGAGAATCGGAAACCTGTACGTGTTTACAACAAACACTGTGTGAATTTGGAAGATCTCAAATACGAATACGAGGATTCAGAAACTCCATGGAAGAGTAATCCGCCGAAACCACGTTCTGCTACTTATACGGAAACCACGTCGCCGGAAAATGTGACGGAGATGGAGTTTCCGTTGAGTATAAGCGAGACTGTGACTATTCAAGTGAAGAGACCTGAAACAAACAGACCGAAGGACCAAAAGAAAACTATAAAAGAGATCTTGCTACTGAAAGGAATCAATTTCAATGGTGGGAAGTTTTTAAGTTTGATGTGTTCGTGAATATTTTTGAAGATATTAACAGGATCTCGCCATGTGAGAGCCAGTATGCCGGTGGTTTTGGACTGCTTCCACATAAAAACAGTGAGAAAATGAATTCAATGACCGGAGTGAGAATAGAGTTGACGGAGCTGTTGGAGGAGATAAACGCTGATGGCGATGATTCTGTTCAGGTGACCATTGTGCCAAGAGTAGGGTGTGATGATGTCACCTTTGAAGATATCAAGATCGAGTTGATCGACGTTTATGAAAAGGAATCAAATTGATGACATGCATGGTGAGGTAATAATTAAAATGGAGGATTCGGCAATTTGATTCTGGATTCCTTCCCCAAATGAATAAGTTGTAGTTTGTAAAGGAAGAAAGCGCAATTCCTTTTTTACTTTTATTGTGTTGTTTATCTTTTATTATATCACTACAACTAGTAATTAGTTGTGTGTATCTCTGTCTCTCTCGTGAGCTCACCGTAATTTGGAAGATTAGGCCTCTCATAATCTCTCTCAGTAATGTTTATTAGAGTAACTAGGGTCAATTTGTTTGAATATTTATATGGTTTTTGATGATTTTGCTCTCGTATAATTACATGGTTTTTTTTATCATTACTCTCAAAATGGAACAATTTGTTAACAGGGTTACAGTATTAAAATGTTTATTAGCGTAAGTTGCTGTCACATGATTGCTTGAGTTTTTTTTTTTTTTTTTAACAGCTAGACTTCAATTAAAAACAACAAGAAGTTGGACTTACATGATACACTACAATGGGTTTTCAACCTAAGAGTTCCAAATCAAATTTCTACCCATTTCGTTCTACTCTTAATCCATAAAAAAGCCAAAGCCTTGACATCATAGGCTAAAGCTAACAGACTCTTGACCTTAGTATTGGTGTTGAAGATCATGTGGTTCCCATTTTCCATATAGTCCATAAGAATGCTTTTGATATCGCTTCTAAGGTGTCTAAAGACCTACTTCCCATTTTTAGAGTAGCGTTTACCCCCAACAAGTCTTCTAAAGAGTCCGATGAGGCAGGAAAATCATTCCACCAAGTATGTATATGCCCTTGAATCTCTAGTGTCTTGGAATAGTTCTTGAATATGTGTACATCGTTCTCTTCGAAAGCATTGCATAAAGGACAAAAGGTGTTACGAATGTTTAATTACTCCTCTTCGTGCAAGATTTAATCTGGTAGACAATCTGTCAAGTCTCACCCGCCATATAAAGATATTTATTTTCACTGGAACCACCTTGGTCCAGATGATTGCTTGAGTATGTAAACAGTTTTTGCTAGTGGTTCTCAGCGGTGAGAATCAGTTCGGTTTATGGGTTATTCGGTTTCCTCAATTTGAAAATTTTTTTGTCCAATTCGAAAACCGAACCAAATCGAATTCAAATTCTCTAGACCAAACCGAAAACCGAATTTTAATTCGATTTGGTTCGATTTGAAAACCGAGAAAACCAAATATTAACTTTAAAAAAAAAATTAGTGTTGCAATTTTCCAAACAAAATTTATAAATTACAATGTTTTTAACACAAAAATCTAAAGTTGCAAACAAAAAGAACTAAAGTTTCATACAAAAACATTCAAAGAGTAAATGGACTCAAATGATTTTTACTTTATAAATAATATTTTTATTTAATATATAAAATATAAAATATATTTTTTAATTAATTAATTTATAAAATTCGGTTTTTTCAGTTCGGTTGGTTTAAACTTCATAAGACCAAAACTCGAACCAAAATGCAAATTCATAATTCGATTCGGTCTCGGACCAAACCAAAACCGAATTTGAATATGATTTAGTTTGAAATCGATTTCGGTTAGATTTAATTTTTGGGCTTTTCGGTTCCGGATCAAATAATTTCCGCCCCTAGTTCTCATAGTGAAACAACATTTGTTAATAGAGTTTTAGTATTGAAATGTTATTAAAGCAATTTAGTGTTATTTTGTTTCAAGTATTTAAATGGTTTTTGCTCATTGCTCTTGTAATATGATTAGAGCCTTAAAATGTTTAGTCGAGTAAGGGGCCGTTTGGTAGCCTCTTAATTGAATAATTAAGAGGCAAGACTCTTAAAAATTCAGATTTAGAGTGTTTGGTTGTATCTTATTTTTTTTGCCACTTACTCTTAAAATAGATCTTATTTTTCCAGACGTAAATTTGTATCTGGAAAAAAGAAACCACACGCGTGTTCCTATTTTTCCCAAAACATCTTCCTCCTCTCTTTTCTATTTCACGATACGGCTTCCCCTCCAAGCCATCTCCGAGGACCTGTAACCTACTGCTCTAGCACCGACCGATTATCGTCTCCACCAGCACTTGCGCCTCCTCCAGCGTCGTTGTCTGCGCCTCCTTCCAGCCCCGTCAAACTCATCGACAACATCAGGTAATTTCTGAAAGCTATTTCTGAACTTGATTTTCTTAATCGGCTTTCCACGGACATCCCGTCAAACTCAACCAGCGACACCACCTCCACCATCCCTGCCAACTTCCCCTGTCTCTCCGACTGATGCTTAATTCAACACTTACTGGTAGACATTCATCTGCTCCATGTGTGTGCGTTTGTGGTCAATTGTGCAATATTCAAATTTGATTTGTGGTAATTTTGATCGCAATTAGATTATAGAGAAATCTAAACAACAATCTGGGGTATTTTGCATATGATTTCAGATTGTTAGGCGTTAGAAACCAAAATTGTTGTTATTGATTTTGTGGAGATTATATGTGATAATTAGGGGCTGAGTAATTTTCTTTGTTTAAGACTTGGTTCATCAATGGCCAAAGAGTGACCGGATACTAAATTCCATCAGCAGTATGGTTTTATAACTGATTGTTAACATGATGAAGAAACCGAGATATAATTAGGTAACTTTGTTTAGCCTCCCTTGTTACCCTAAATTCTTTTTGTTGGTTAAATTGGATGGTTAATGGATTCATTTTTTGATAGTCTTATGAAATTGCAGATCCCAGTTCACATTTTCCCTTGAGTAATGGGATAGAAATTGTTTCAAGGTTTTCACTTGATCATGAAGTTAACTCAAAGATTTATTTGTGGAGAGGAAGCTGTGGAATATGGAGATTGAAAATGTCTGAACAATCGTTGGCTTCTGAAACATAAAGACATATTGAAAACTCAAATCTCAAACTGAAGAATACCCCATCTTATATTAACAAAATTTGACATTCAATGTCAAATATGTTGTTTTTTAACTTTGAAATTCTTTGGATATAAAAAAATGATATTATTTTTTTAAATTTATGTCAAAGAGATCATTACAAGTTATTAATGATAAATTTTGATTTATGCCAATATGAATTTTGTACGGTATTTATAGTTTTTTTTATAATTATTCAGCAAATATAATACATAAGGGTAAAACAGTAATTTCGATAATTCAGCATATCAACTGAGAGGTTCCAACCAAACAGTCTGTTAATAATTCAGATCTTAAAGTTTCATACCCACTTAGAAATTCAGACCTCTTAAAAATTCAGATCCTGCCAAACAGCCTCTAACTAGGGCCAATGAGTATTTTAAAAGTTGTGTTGTCGGAAGACTTAATTTCCGAAATATCTTAAATATGACGGATATACGTTCATTTTTGTGGTCTCCTTACTTTTAAATAATCCGAAATATGATACTCACCACTTCCTGAAACCTCATTTCACACTCCATCAAATCTAGACCATTCTAAAGGTAACTCCAAACTATATATGACGATGAGTTTATGATACTCTAAGTAGAGACGCAAACGGGGGCAGATATTAGTGGAGGATGTAATCCTCATCCCCGCACTCGATCTGCGATCCCGATATCCATCCCCATCCCGCCTCGTCTAATCTATGACGGGTTCAGGTAACAAAATCTATGTCGGGTATGGGGAACCCGGTGGATATCCGTTTAGAAAAAAAGAGTCAAGTTTTTTATGTAAATCTAAAAAATTTATAAAGACATAAACAATAATCATGAAAATTAAAATGCTCAACTGTGTATACTTCATTTCAATTTCTACTTCATTCTCAATTTCTTGAAGATATCAACGTAAAAAAGGTGATTACTGAAGGAGATTAGTGCTCATAGTCATAACAAAGTCCGATAATATTTCTATAAATAGCAGTGTCCTTTTCGGTTACACGCAAGAACAAAGTGAAGCAAATCTTAAAATATACTTATTTGAGGGACTTGTTTTGTTAATTAATTAATAGTAAATAAATGGAATATGGAATATTCCAGAATGATTTGAATTCATTAGGTAATTATTATTATATTTGGTAATTATCCCTGGGGTTTCAAATCACCTCCTTATAAATAGAGAGCTCGAAATTCAGTTTTGGCACTCGTGAAAATACCTATCAGCTATCAAAAGTTCAGATTTCTCAAAAACCTAAAGAATCCCAAATTGTCGATCCCATGTCGTGGCCTATTGATCTCCACGTCGTGGCCGAAGAACAAAATCGAGATTTTGATTCTATTTGAAGCTTTAAGTTTAAGGATTGCTTGGATTTGTTTCTTGTTTGTCTCTTGGGTGTGATTTCAAAAGAGGAACTCTCCTTTAGGTTCTCAAATCCAATCAGTTGGCTCATCAAGAGAAGAAACCCACAAAGAAATCTAAGGTATGTTTTCTATCCATTGAGTTCTATAAGTCGCATAGATTAGTTGATTTTAGATCCATTGTTTCGAGTTTAGATCATATTTGTTTCTGTTTTCCGTTGCCATTTATTTGATCTAATGAGGATCGAAACCCATTAGTGGTATCAGAGTGTGGCTAACTCAAGTCTATTGCACTTAGACTTTGTCCTTTGGGTATGTTAGGGTTTGTATGTGTAGGGTTTATGGTTTTAAATTGTTTTAAAAGTCTAGAAATTTGTCTTGATTGATATTGAATCAGATTTTGCTTTAAAACAATGATTTAAGTCATTCTGCCCCTTCGCCACGACGTGGCTAGTCTTTCACCACACCATGGTATCTATATAGATCGCGACTGTCATCGTCGCCATGTCGTGGTCACCTCTTGACCTTGTCGTGGTTTGCAGCTAAGAACCTAAAATAATAAATTAATTAAATTGTGTGTTTTCTGTGTGTCACGACGTGGCTGATCTGTACCCATGTCGTGGAACCTGAAGTTCCAAATTAGTCTAAATTCGTTTTTATTTTTGATTGCTCATCTCTTTCGATTTTAATCACATACAAACAAGCGTTTATACTAAAAGATAAAGTTACATTTGATTTAATTATAAAATTAATTAAAAGACAAAAGATTAGCACTCTTATAATTTAATTGTTGGCCTTTTTAATCAACAAAAATTAAAAGACACATAATCCACATGTATGTATTGTAAAATAGTATTTATATGTATAACACTAAAATAAAATGTAACGTCCCAAAACTCATAACCAAATTTTTTTTGTTTTTATATAAATAGACCATTATTCAAACATGTTTGTCAAAACCATAAGGTAATCAAAATATATCAATAACATCCCAAAAGTACATCGGAGTCAAATAAGCGGACAAAATCGTGGTGTGTGCAATGCAATCGTCCCGAGCTCTTCCCCTTTGAACCGGAATCACCTGAAACAGAAACTGAAAACCGTAAACACAAAGCTTAGTGAGTTCCCCAAAATACCGCATACCATACATATACGCCAACTCAAGGTTGTGTCAGGTCTATTTCACCCCCGGGTCTATTTCACCCTCGAGTCTATTTCAACTCATATGTCAGCACAAGGTCGTACCGGGTATATTTCACCCCCAGGTCTATTTCACCCCCGAGTCTATTTCAACTCATATGCCAGCACAAGGCTGTACCGGGTCTATTTCACCCCACATACATATAGCAAACAGGCACACAGGCATACCACATATACATCAGGAGTCACAAAGACTACAATCACATACAATCCATGTATCTTACAGTATAGTGAGCAAACTCAACTCGCAAAGCAGCTCAAAAGCCGACACGTCCTCAAAATCCCACAACAGGTGCTAGGCGCCACCTAGATAACCACACGAGGCACATCCTTAATTTACCTATCAGGACATCAATGGCTAAACAAAATCCACAAATCAAAAGTCATTCCTCAAGGTCAACGGTCAAAGTCAACGGTCAATGTTGACTCCAGCTGACCACGTCGTGGTTTTCGGGAAAATCCCCATCGCTATGCCATGGTGAACTAGAACCACGTCGTGGTTTTCGAGGTTTCCAACAGCTTAAGGCATTAAGTTGTTCTCTCCGATTCTAAGAGCTCCAAAGCTCAGATTTGGTCCAAAATGTGATCTAGAAGGATAATGTTTCTAACTTTATCCTTTAAGACCACCCAAAAGTTTCATATCAGTTCTAATATATAAATTTTTAAATGTGGAATACATAAAATTTCCTCTTCCATACTATGGTCGGCAACAGACCTTAAACTTTCTCAAGTAATAGCAATATAGGTAAACGACCTAAGGCATGTTATATTTATTTATCATTTAGCACATATTAGAATATAAGCCATATCTCCTCTAATATTCTAGTGCTTGTCCATTTAGGTATTCAACCTAAAATATACTAGATACACATCGTATCATCATCCCTTAGCAACCCATGTTTAAGTCTAGAAATTCTCAAAATTCCTAGTTCACTTAAACTAATTCTCTGAAAATTTTGAAGTAACTTAATATTTTAGAATACTAGGGTTTATCACTACCCAATACCCCACTTAAATCTTTCCTAAGGTTTGTATCCATATACTCCTAATAAATCAGTTCATATATGGCACTTCCAACGGTTTAAGTCTAAATACCAACATATGATGTTTAGTTCACTTAAACTATTGTTCTGATACCATGATTGAAAGACCCTAACTTTCATACTAAAAACATTGTTACTCCAAAACATGCTACATGCATATTCAAAAATAATATTTTACATTGATACTTTGATTACAAAAGACTGGATACAAACCGACTAAGTTTTAGTATATTACATAACTACCCATGATATTAAAGCTTTTATACAAACGTAAACACAAGTACAAAAATAATAGTATAAACTATTCTAAATCTTCCAACAGTATATGACTATACTGGATGCTTATTACCTGCAATTGTTAGACACTGGGAGGGGTAAGTGGTGACGCTTAGTAAGTTCAATAATAGATACAATATAACGTTATGCCATATACATACCAATATGACAGAAACAAAGGGGAACAAAGAACAACAAAGGCAGATGAGTATCATATGACATGATTTTCATATCAACGGATAATCTGATTCAAAGATCTATAATCAATGAGACATAACAATTTCAGTACTTGATATACATCAATAAAACTTTTGCCCATGGCATGAAAAATAACCAATTTCTGAATAAACATTTTGGCTAGCAAAATTATAGGCTTTCAGCCCTGCATAGCCTTCTGCCAATGCCAAAGGAATGCTTAATCATTCACTTCATGGTCAAAGGCTACATACCAATACCCAAGTGATGTTTATGTCATACACTTCAAGTCAAAGGTATAGCTCCGTTAGTATACAAATCATGCTTTACATAGCCAAAGGTATAAAACCAGAATAACACAGGAAAGCACATTGAACATATAACACATAACATACAATTGTTCCTATATATTGAACTCACCGTGAAATAACCGAAGGAATAAATGATAATTTGGGCGGCACTTCGGCTCTATATATGACTTTCTGTGATAAAACCGGGGATTTTAGTTGAAAACGGGCCTTACTCAGGCAGAGTTTCGACTTGAAAATATGATTTTTCTCGGGAATTTCGGAGCGTCGGAACTTGCTTCGGGTGTAAGACATGATACCGGGACTTCGGGGGGTTAAAAGTAGCTAGAGAAGAGAGTAAAGGGTGAAAGAGATTGAAAAATGGCAACCATAACTGGGCAAGCTCGCATGCCTTTTATAGCTGGCCGAAGCCTCGGAGTACGTTGGGCGTACGCGGCGTGGCAGCTGCTTGGTTCCCGGGTCTCGGACGTGTCATCAACTGTGATAGGTGGTATCTGCGCGAAGAGAGGGGCGACGTGGCTGATCTGATGCCTTGCATACGAACGCTGGGCGTAACCCTCTACGCGGGGCATTCTCCATCGGATAAGTCTCGAATTTTTATTTATTTTTATTTAAAAACTTTAAAAATTCATATCATTTGTATACGAGCTTCGTTTTTGACGTTCTT